AGAGGCAGCACGTTTCCTTTCCCTGCTGCGCTCGGGGGTTGTTCTGACGCTCTCTGGAGCAGGAGGATGGAGTCTGCGAAGGACTGGGTGGGGCCTCTGGCTCTTTTTGGATGCGCTGTAATAAAGCCCTGCTGTAAGGAGCTTGTTTCTCATCACCACCTCCCTAATCCCGGGGCTACGATTCCTTATGTTTTACATCAGGTGCCCGGTGCGGAGGATCAGACAGCCCTGTCCCTGGAGGAGTGCCTTAGGCTGCTGGAGGCCACCTTCCCTTTCGGGGAGAATTCAGAGGTGAGTGGATGGGGTGATGGCTTCTGAAAAAAAGGCAGCGACGGCTCTCCTTCGCCTGCTCGCTGGGGTTTCGGTGCCTCTTGTACCCCTAACCCAGACCGCAGAACCGGCAGTAAATTGGGTTAGCCTGCTTAAGGAGGCTCCAGGCATCGTGCCTGCGAAACTAGCAGTGGGGGGGTGGTCACAATTAATTAAAGACTTCTGGCTTTGCTTCTAATTAGTTCATAGTGAACTGTGGAGGAGTTACTGCAACCAGTTTGCTTTGAACAAAGGAGAAGCGATTGCCCGCGCGGAGGTGGAAGGGCATTCGGGATTGCTGGCTCCCTGGCCGCGGCTGATCAGCCGGGGACTGACTCTGCCTCACGTGGTTAGTTTCCAGCTGCGGATGTCTCCACCCTGAGCGAAGCCGTGCCCGGCGAGAGCAGGTCCGCGGGCATCCAGACCAGCCTGCTGTCTCCTCTCCTCACAGAGACCGAGTCGCCCTTCGATCTGGAGCAGCAGTGGCAGGACCTCATGTCTATCATGGAAATGCAGGTGAGCTCGAGGGGGGGTTGTGGGAAAGCGTTTGCCCCTCCAGGACATGTTTCCCTTGCGCCGAATTGAAGTTCGATGGCTGTCCCAAGCACCCGATTCCTGGACAATCATGACTTGGGGTTGTTCGGAGCTGCTTTGCTTTTCTCCCCACCGTGCCACCCATGTGGCGGCTGCTGTTGCTGTCTTACAGCTGGCGGATGATGCTGGGCCGCTGCAGAGAGCTCCTTCCGTGGGATCTAGAAGCATCGTCCTGCCTTTTTTTGGCCGGGAGCGAAGGGCACTGAGGAAAGGCAGGGCTTGAGCGCGGCTCATTTACTGAGCTGTTCCGCGTCTCTTCCAGGCTATGGAAGTGAACAACACAACCGCAGAAACCCTGTACAACGGCACGAGCGGAGACCTGCTGACTTCTAACTACAGCCTCGCTCCGAACACTCCCATCAATCAGAATGTCAGCCTGCATCAGGCCTCTCTGGGTAGCTGCTCACAGGACTTCTCCCTCTTCAGCTCGGAAATCGAAAGCCCCTCCATGGCTGGCAGCTCGGCCCTGCTCCAGCTGGCGCCGGACAACTCCACCGGCCTCAACACCACCTTCGGCTCCACCAACTTGAGCGGCATCTTCTTCCCTCCGCAGCTGAACAGCACAGTCAACGAGACGGCTGGCCCCGAGCTGCCAGACCCACTGGGCGGTCTTCTAGATGAAGCCATGCTTGATGAGATCAGCTTGATGGACTTGGCGATTGAAGAAGGTTTCAACCCAGTGCAGGCCTCGCAGCTGGAAGAGGAGTTTGATTCTGACTCAGGTCTTTCTCTGGATTCCGGCCACAGTCCTGCTTCTCTGAGCAGCTCAGAAGCCTCCTCCTCCTCCTCCTCTTCCTCCTCGTCCTCTTCCTCCTCCTCATTTTCTGAGGAAGGAGCTGTCGGCTACAGCTCAGACTCTGAAAACGTGGACTTCGAAGAAGCGGAAGGAGCAGTTGGATACCAGCCAGAGTACAGCAAGTTCTGCCGCATGAGCTACCAGGACCCCTCGCAGCTCCATTACTTGCCTTACCTGGAGCACGTTGGCCACAACCACACCTATAACATGGCGCCGGGGGCCCTGGATCCCGAGGAGCCCAAACTGCCCAGCGCAGGGAAGAAGAGCAGCAAGGAGAAGCCGTCCGAGTTCCTGGATAAGCAGATGAGCAGGGACGAGCATCGAGCCAGAGCCATGAAGATCCCCTTCACCAACGACAAGATCATCAACCTGCCCGTGGAGGAGTTCAACGAGCTCCTCTCCAAGTACCAGCTCAGCGAGGCGCAGCTGAGCCTGATCCGCGACATCAGGAGGCGAGGCAAGAACAAGATGGCTGCCCAGAACTGCCGCAAGAGGAAACTGGACACCATCCTGAACTTGGAACGGGACGTCGAGGACTTGCAACGGGACAAGTCCAAACTGCTCAGGGAGAAGGTGGAATTCCTCAAATCCATCCGCCAGATGAAGCAAAAGGTGCAGAACCTCTACCAGGAAGTGTTCGGCCGTCTGCGGGACGAGAACGGCCAGCCCTACTCCCCCAGCCAGTACGCCCTGCAGTACGCCAGCGACGGCAGCGTCATTTTGATACCTCGCGCCGTGGCTGACCAGCAGGCCCGGCGGCAGGAGCGGAAACAGAAGGACCGGAGGAAGTGAGGGACGGCGATGCGGGAGGAGTGGGACACTCGCTCAAGTGAGAACTGGAGAAGGGCTGAGCCTGGAAGTACTTAGAGGAACTTTCATGCCTTCTTATCCGATATATCTTCTCAAAAAAACGTGACTGCTGCCGGTCAGTGTACGGGAGAGACTGCGGGACCTGCAGGCTGAGTTTTGAGGGCTCCCTGCGGGGAGGGACGGGGAGGAGCGGACCCTGCACTGGCGAGCCCGGCGCCTTCCACAACCTGGAATCCTTTGAGCGCAGGAAACAAGCTGTGGCATCACTGGTGGTGAGATTGGCAGAGGTGGAAAAACTACTGTTAGGAACTGGCTTTAAATAAGAAAAGAGATTTAAGCAAATGAACTTAAAACAAGTTATAGGAGAGACATTTTTCTGAACTTCCAAAGTTCTGTGATTTCAGGTAGTTGGTTTTTTTCTATTTTTTTTTCTTTTTTTTTTTTTTTTTTTCTTTTCCTGAACCAGTTTTGACATCGGTGTGTGTGATTCAATCTGACTTAATTCCAGATTAACCAACATCCCTTCCTAGATCAGACCAGTGCACACATGGAAACACAAGTGGTGCGACTTCCATTAACCCTTTCCAGCCTGAG